GCCGGTCAAAGGCTGGAAAGGCAAGAAAGAAAGAAAGGAAAAGGATAATTAACGAATCGAGTGGAGCATCGACGAGTTCGAGAGCACGCGGTACGAACGTTTCTGCCGCGTTTCTTTAATTGGCGGCATTAATCACGCGTAATTACCGAGCATCTTGTAACGGTGCTAACGGCTGGTTCGTAAGCGTCTCCTCGGTCTCCTCTGCCGCAACTCTTTGACCGCAAAGGCGTAACGATCCCCGAAAACTGTATACCCGCGTCGCGAGGATACTCCCGTTTCCCGTCCTTACGCCGCTGAGGATTAACCCCGACGAGCAGTAACCGACATCCGTGGCTGCAATTAGTACGATACCGCACGGAACGGTCACCGACGCTCTCCGTTCGGCACCCGACGCGGGGCAAACACCGTCGCGACGAAGGGTTCCTCTAACCAGATGCCCGCTTCTTCCGGACGCGACATTTCTCTCATCGGACCTAACGAACGGTTAACCGTCCTCCCTCTTATTCTCTACTTCGCTCGTTCGCCGCTATTACGCGATACGTCAAAAGCTTAGTACCTTTTAAAAGGTGTTCGTTCGATCGAAATTTTCTGCTCGGTTTTCGTTGAATCGTGCGAGCGAATTTCAACGTTGGAACAAGGGCGGAGCGGAGACGCGTTGCAACGAGATCGAGTCTGCGACCGAAACGAGAGGGTTGCGGCATTAACGAGACCGGCGCGCATTAGCTAGCGTCCTGCAATATTAAGCAGAGCACCGAGCGAGCGTTTTGCGCCCAACTTGGTCGCTCGGCCATGCTACGTATCGATTTTAACGGACAAAAGAGACGAGGGGTCATCGGTTCGTAATCGCTTCTCTCGATTATTCGAATCGTTACGAGCTTCTCTTTCCCGCGATCGGCAAACGTTTCGAACGAGAGGAAACGTCGCCAACTTCGGAAGCTACGATTTCGGTGTCCCTCTGCCGCGATTCGATCGACGAACGAAACACCTCGTTTCGCGGCTAGAAGCGGCGTATAAAACCGTGTTCGTCGCTAAATTTTCGCTCGGTCGCGAGTCGCGTCGAATCGAACGGTCCGTGCGAGGACTCGAGTCGCCACGGGAAAGAGCCGAATAAAATATTCAAGCGCTTTCCATTAACGGACCGGTTTATACTTATCGAGGATAAAGTCAAAGGGGTGGTTTCGACGACGAGTCACGCTTCGGCTACGAAATAAAGGGTAGCTGCCTTTACGCGAGGCTCGACCATGATTCTGCGTCGATCCGTTTGGTTCGGATCGAGGAAAGAAAAAAGAGTGGAAAAAAGTGGATCGAGTCCGGTATCGGTATCGGTGTCGGTGTCGGTCTCCGGCTCGGCGGTGATAGATCGTGGGTAACGGGCCGGAGAACAGGTCGAGAGGAATAGCAGGGTAGCGGTAGCAGAGCGGTTTAGCACGCCGACTGCCGTATGGGGCGTAATAGTTTAATTCATATGTAAATGGAGTGGCGAACCACGGGAGAAAAGTCACGGGACTGCGTGCGTGGAAAGGGCGCGCGAGTGATCCGTACACGTGTACGGGAGACCTCGTAAATCTGTAACGGGATACTTTGCGTAATTAGAATTACGCCCCCGACCTATCTAACCGCGCACTTTTATTTCCTCGAAACTTGTCGCGTTTTTCTCTTCGAACAACTTCGATTCTTTCTGCGAACAAATACTTCAAGTTGCACGTGTAACTAAAAGATTTATTTATTTATTGTGATAATCGGGACAAAATCAAGAACAGTTCCATGTGCATTGAAACAAAAAGATTCACGTAAAATAAATAAATTCTAAACTCCTCTGAAGTGGTTGTAGGACTTCATAGAGAATAAACAATTTTCCCTCGATCTGAGAAATAAAATAGAGAGAAATAGGAGCGAGCAGGAATCGAATTCGCGATGTTCCAGCAGCTAACCATCCAACCAGCAATTAGTTTAACCGAACCGCGTCGCGTCGGCCGGATCATCGTCGACGGAGAGTTTCGCGTAGCTATGTCGTCCGTCTGTCCCGTATTCCGTGATTTATGTTTGCCATACATTACCCACCGAATAATCCCACGAAAGGGTATATACGGTGCTCGAGACACCCCTTCGACCTCGACGCCTAGTCGAACGGACGTTCCCTCGAAGGGGACTGCTGCCTCCACCTCCGTCGCCACCCACCGTTTAACCGCTACTCGCTGATCGCTCTATCCGCTTCGATTAAAACTATGATCGCCACCGCAATCCACTCTCGCGTCGGATCGATCCTCTTCGAGTCGCGCGTTGACGTCTGTTCGCTTGTGTTTGCGTCGGCCTTGCAGAGATCGGGAGCAAAGCACGCGATCGGTGTAACGAGTAGACGAGTAGTTTGGTCTAGCGACTCGTTAGACGCGAGAATTCGTTTGCGAGTCGCGTAATCGATAGGGTTGTGTCGGTCGCTTTGGATGCTGACTAGGGTCGGAACTCGGTAACGGGATATCGAGAAACGAGGAACGCGGATAACGACGCGTATCGTCGCGGGCGGAAAAGGTGGGCCGCGGATCGTAGGCATACGCGGTGCTTCGATTATCTCGGAAGAAGCGGATGAGCTCTCGAAGTTTAGACTAGCCGCGAAGAATAGTCGAGAGGATAGGAAGATTCGGCGGCGCGTTATCGAGCCAGCACGAAACGCTTTTGTTCCCAAAGGAAGACCGGCCGCCGTCTTTGTTCGGTCGCTCGGTTGTGCCGCGGCGGTAAGCCATTATCGTCTGGATTAGGTACTCGCCTTGCGATCGCCGCGCGAAGCGCAACGCCGTTACGCTCTCTAAATGGCTCGCTACTCGACGGAAGCAGTCATTTGCGATAAGGGCTCGTTCGCGCGTCGGGCGTCGCGCGAGTGTCTCTCTTTTTCGTTCGGGGTGGCAGCGTCGGAGCCAACGGATCACGAGAGGGAGACGCGTCGCGATGGAAGGGTGAAAATTGCGAGAAATCCGCAACGAGACGTTCGCGATTACGAGCGGGATCGCGGTCGCGTCTCTGACTTTTGTCCGATACCAAACGAATCGAGATTCGCGTGCCGGTTCGCCCCGAAGATGCCAATTTCCTGACCAACGGTGCATTCGGATAACGTCGAACCTCCTCTCGCGAAATCACGTTTTCTCGCTCCTCTCGAGCGAGTCGGTTTCAGCGATCGAAAAAGCGTGGAAAAATCGATCGCGAGGCGAGTCCGAGACGATGACGAGGTCGAGAAACGATTTTTTCCCCCGAAGCGGGGCGAGAGAGTCGATTCGCGGTAAGGCGCTGGGGAGCAATTCCCTTAAATGCCCTGTCGTCCGCAAAAAGCCACTCCGCCTAAAAAACAGCCTAGTGCGCTGCGTCCCCCGAAAACGCGTGCCCGTCAACACCCGTCGACACCCGTCGCTCGGTCTATCGCGTTTCGCTCGCTCTTTTTCCTTCTCGGATTATATTAGTCTTTATGGCACCGATAAAGTGCACCGTCGATTTCTCTACCCTCCGCACCGACACCCTTCTTCGGCCTTCCTCTGCCCGATCGAGCACCTCTTTTACTCGAGTGCCTGAATGTGACGTCTCGCTTCTGCTTTCGTAGCCGCGCGATCAGTTTACCGCTCGTGCTCGTCCTGATTTTTTCCACGGATTCGTCTGTACGGGTAAGAACGAAATTAATAAGCGTTGCGAATTTCAAAATCTTCGAACACCTGTAACGCTGAAATCATTCCCTGTTCGGTCGATGAGATACGACCGAGTAATTTTGTCCAGCGTGAAAAGGTTAAAAGGATTATGCCTGTAAGCTTTCGTGTTGAACGCCGCGAAGCGAGAATTTCGTTTGGCGCCTTAGCATCGACTACACGGCGCGCATCGCAGTGTACGCGACGCTCGAGCGTCTTCGAAAGGCGTGTGGCTAAAATCCTAACGTGAAAGTTCGAGCTACGCTCGTATCGCGATGATCGAGAGAAAATCACGATTAATCGCCATCGTCGTGGTTTTTTTGCTTTCGTCTCGCTTGGCTTGGACGTTAAATGAAAAACATCTTGTTTCGTTCGAACGGAAACGGTGTCTTCGATAAACGCCTCGGGTCATCGCTGGAACGCGTTACGTCACGACCGATACGAATCGATAACGGAGGAAAAAGAGGAGATACGCGAAACGACGACGAAACTCGATTCGAACGGAGTCGATCGGGCGAGCCGACGAGGATAGCCGAATCGTGATTTTTCCAGCCCCGCGAAATCGGATCGAATCGGATTCGCGTTAAATTGAACGGCGCTAGATATTTCCAATATTTGAAGCAACGCCGGAAATCACGGTCGCTTCAGGAAATGAAACGTATGTCTAATTTTCAATGCCCGTTCTCCGTGCGCGCACGTTCGCGATCGGCCTCCCTTCCTTCGACCCTCTTTTCCTATCGTTGTTCACCGCGACGCGTACAACGCGATAAAATAGCCCAAAACTGAACAAAATCTGTTTCACTTTTCTTATCGTGAAACCTGTCTCTACTTCGAAACGTGTCACTGACTTGAAAAATTCTATTTTTGTATTACAATAGGCAAGGTAGCTACGTGTTCGAGAAGAGAAATTTTTGCAAAATATCGTAATTATTTAATCAAGTAGAAAATAACACACTTCTCATCGAGTCATTTCATTTTTGGACTTGGAACTTTAACCGTATAAAATTAAAATTCTCCAGCGAAGTCCAAGTTAGAAGTTTTTAATTCAGTATCTCTAGGATGCAACTCTATCAGTCTTGTTTTCTCCCATTCGTCTTATCTAGAAATATTTAAGTTCGTATATAGAGATTCGTGTTTATCTCGTTTCCTAATGCGCGTTGATAACAAGAATGCAATAACAACTAATGTTCAAGGTGTCTTCGCTTTTACATTTTTACATATTTTGAACATGTGTACTATACATTTCAAATTATATAAGCGTGAAGTTGCAACGAAGAACTAGACTTATTTTGCTGTAAGATCTCCAGATTTCTTGTCTCGCAGACAAACATTATTAACGTTACTGATAAAAATGCAGCTTCGATTTGATCGTTCTCCTTCGCTCGGTTGTAAAAGCAGGAAGAATGACAGGAACGAATGGCAAGGAACGGTGGAAAAATGAAGAAAGAACCTCGGACTCGCGGTGGTATTCGGGGATCGTATTCGTCGTAGGTTCTTTTTCCCGTTCCAGTTCGGTCCTGGCGTAACGCACGCGGAACGAAGGTGGCTGATCCGTCGTCGGGAACGTATTATCGTCTATCGAAAAAATATGAATAAGCTTTCCAATTTCCGACGTTCCGTGACATTTCTCCTCCAGGAGGGTGGATGGTTCTCGATGAAACATGAACGATACAACGGAGCGCCGTTCGATGTTTCGACGCGTTCGTTTCGCGTACAGAATCGGCTTTTTTCTCCGCGCTTTCGAATCGCGGCGAGACGAATACGCCGCGACGGTATCCATTCCGTACGGATTTTCCGTGCCGCGATGAAATCGATCCAATCACCGGGATCGAATTTCTCGTTCGGTGGACGAGTAACGGTTCGAGCGCGAAAAAATTCGAAAGCGAGGGGAAGCGTTTCGTTAAAAGCTCGCGATCGCTTCAGGAAGGAATGTTTAAGGGTGATTTTATAGTGTCCGGCGCAGAGGTCAACCTATCCACGGATACATCACCCCAAACCCTCGCGTCTCCTTGATGGATCGCGGTTCTCGTCCTCTCGTCTTTCCCCACACCCGAACACTCTCTCTTCTTCCTCCTACTCCTCCGCCGCTTCTTCCTCCTCCTCTTTCTCATCCTTCCTTTCGGTTCCTCGTCCGAACCGTCCGCACCCTACGCCGCGTTCGCCTTCGATTTCTCGACCCGTCCGATGGATTATGCATCGCGTTCTCGTCTCTGTTCGTTCTGCAAGAAGGTTCGCGGTGATTTTCTTGCGTTTAACGCGACCGATCGAGCGTTTCGCGGCCGAAAAAGAGGAACTCGTCCTTCCTAACGAGATATTTCGACGAAACGAACTGCTGGAAAAACGTTGGAGAACCCGGACCACCTAAGGGAGCGAAAAGGCCGTATTTGGTGGCGTTTCCGCGAAACCGGAGCGGTGGTAACTTCTTACTTTGAAATTCCGTCGATACATCACGCCTCTGAAACTTGGCTCGCCCCGCCTTCGCCACCTCCATGCTCCGCCTCACCGCCTCACCGCCTCACCGCCGCAACCAATCTTTCCTTCTTCTTCTTTCTCCTTCTTCACCCTTCCTTTCCGACTCTTTTCCTTTCCCGTTTTCCCTCTATTTATCCACCTTCACCCTTTTCGTTCGTTCCTACGCTCGGTGCACCTCGAACAATCGTCGTCCTGGAAAACGAGTATAACCGATTCTTACCGTTGCGTCGGATAAGTAAACTCGAAAATGGTTGGACGTAAAGCGCGTAACTTAAGTCGAACGTCGCAAAGGGAGAAGAAAAAATAAAAATGGGACGATGGTTTGAAACGAGCTGCGAAAAGCAACGGAGGCAGCGTTTATCGTGTTTACGTTTAAAACCGTATAAAAGACTCGTTCGTAGGAACGACGCGTTTAACGCGAACGAGAAACCTCTTTAACGATCCTTCGTTGCGCTTTTTCGGCGAACGCTTCGAGTTTCGATTCGTCGAGGAGAAAAATGTTAAACGACTCGAGTTCGAGGGTGAGCACCGTTTGCTCCGAAACACTCGAATCTAACTTTCGGTAAATCGTGGAACGTAATTTTATTTCGTTTCACGAGAGATCGCGTTACGCTTCGAATCGGAACAGCGAGAACGAGAAGTTTGTGTCGGAGCATCGAAATTCGGCCAGAGACGACCAACTGAAATTCCTCGGTAAAACTGTCATTTCACCGGGCTAGATAAGATTCGAAACGAATCTGACAGTTTATAAGTGACAAGCGGTCCACGGACGAAGACGGTTCCCAAAGAGAAACGGTGGCGAAGTAGAACTTGGTGTAACTTGGCGTCGACGTCGGAACATAACTTTAATTACAGAAGTTCGCGCATTGTCTAGGAACGTAGGCACGGCAAGAAACCGAGCTCTTTCTCTTCCCGAGCCAAAGTTTTCCGCGTGTTTCGAAACAAAGCGGCCAGGACCTACCGACGAGGAGAATCGCGGGAGATCAGAGGGAGATGGTCTATCCTTTCTAACGTCATTTATTCCTCCTTCTTTTCTTCCTCTATCGTACCGGATAGATAACGTCGGCGGAAAATGATCTTCGTTCCTCCGATGTATGTCGCGATTCGCCGCGAAGAACGCACTCGAAACGCAGCGTGAAGGAACGAATCGTTTGTCGTAACCGTCGACTTTTGTCGAACGGTTTTAATCGTTCGGCGACGTTGAACGTATACGCGACGGTTCGCGCCGATGTATCGCGATACGAGCGTATTTTTCAACGGATAGCAACAGGGTCTGCGTATTCGAACATAAACCCTCGCGTTATTAAACGATTGACTCAATTCAACGGCAAATTAACGGACAAAGAACTTAAGTCGACTGCTTGCTAACATGCGAACGGTCCCATCCAATTGAGGACCACCCAAACTGTTCCTTTCATTTACAGACGATTCGTATATCTCGCTTCTATTCATCGATCGTTTCGAAGCGGACGTTCGCGTTTACGAGTCGACAAACTTTCGCTTCGAAGCGATTCGTCTTTTTTCTAATCAGAACTCCGCTTCGAACGGTATACCGTTTCGATTCGAAACGGATCGTTTTCCCGAGATGCGTCATATACGTACTTGTATACGCGGAGTCGTGCACGGGGACGTTAAAGGATCGATTACGATTGCCGTCTGTTCGAATCCGAGTAGACGGACGAAATCGGTACGTTTTACGGAACCCTTTGACGCAAGGTAATTCGAAACGGAGCGCGTATGCTGGTAAGAAAACGAAGCGGCGAGAGCAATTGGCGCCGCATCGCTGCATACGGGTGTTTAACGCGTTCGTTTCGGTCAAATTCTTCTCACGAGGTCGATAAACCTACGCCGCGAGTATTTTGTTCAATTAAACGGCCGCGCATGCGGGATCGACCTAAAAAAGTTATCGGATTTTCTCGACGACGAATAAACGCGAGGCAACGCGACGCTAAATCGACGAAATCTGCTTTGATCCGAATTTCGAACGCGAAAGCTTCGAATCGCGAGCGACGAACACCGTTGAAAACAACGCTCGTGCTTCGAAGGCAACAGATCGAAGACGGTTTTAGGAGTATTCCCGTGTAACCTGCCACTTCGAATCCGACTCTACTTCGCTAGCTCCCCAGAGCCCGTTCTTCTTTTACTTTTCCCAAATAAACCGACAGCTAATCGATAGCCCGTCAACTTCTCGTTTCTTCCTTCTATTCCGGCCAATGATTCCTTTTTTTTCAGACCGTTCGGGGACACTGATTCCCGTGTTCCGTTTCTTTTTTCTTCTTCCTTTTGTTTTTCTTCTCAGCGATCGTTCCAAATCGTCTTCCGACGCGACGACAAGTTCACGAGCGTGCTTTCGTTTGCCGTCGAATCGTCGCTATTCGAACAAAAACCACGAACAGAAGGAAAGAACATGGAGCAGAAGTACTAACGAAGGCGGAAGGCGATAGGAAGAAGCGAAACGTAGAGGTAGGCGGGAGTTATACAGTCCGGGGTAGGTTAGGCGCGCACGGATAAGCTGTGTATGGAACGAGCGAACGCGTTCGTTGACTAGATGCGATCGGACAGATGCGATATTGCTTTCGTAGCTGGTGCCGGTCCTTCGCGATCTTGACGTTTCCTGTGGCGCGCTTACGCTCGCGTATCGTCCGTTTCCCTGCTCGCGTACTAAACGCGTTTCCGTCGCTCCCGCTTCGTCCGCTACTTATCTCTATCTGTCCTTTTGTCCGTCTTCGATCCCTAGCCGCTCGTCCTCCGATTCCCCGAGGATTCGTGGAAACTCGCGTCGCACCCTGTCACCCGTGCCTCGATCATCGTCGATTCCTGTTTCCATCCGACTGTTTCTCGTTCCTCGATGATCGTTTCGACCAGCGTCTCTCGAGCTTCGTCGGACGAGATTTAAAGCGCGCGTTGGTCGGATTCGAAGACGAGTCGAGCTACGGAGAGGGAACGGATCGCGATCGATCGGTGAGGGACGATAGCGGATCGTGTTCAAACGGTGAAAAAAGAAAAATCGACAGCTGGATCGCGGTCGGACAAGGTGGCTAGTTGGCCTAGTGGGCGTGTACCTCGTATTCGGGCAAAGTGGGCGCGTACCGCGGGTAACGAGGGTCGAACGGCTTCCAAATAAAGCGGAACAATACCGAACAACCGGCGTCCAGCCAGCGAGGACAATAAAGTGGACGCAACGCGCGATGGTCGGTGGCGAGATCTAAGAGCCAGGAACGTTGCGTGACGGACGGCACGCTTGCACGCATTCGAGTCGACTTTTGCCACGATTTTCCACCGGTCCGCTTTCAACGTCTCACTTTGCTCGAGTCACGCCCCGTTGCAACGAACCGCTTAATCGTTCTTTTCACCGGAACAACGCTTTCGCTTTTTCGGTAGCGTCCCTTCCGATTCTCGCGTTGTTACGCGCTGCCTTCGAATCGTTCGCGACACGATTGTCCGTTTAAAGTCGATGTCTCGTGCCATCGCCTCCGCGCGTTGCGTCCGTGCATTCGCTTCTTTACCCGCTTCTTTTATCCCTGTTATCGAAACGCGGCGAGATACGCGCGACGGATCGATTATGTTTTCAACGCGAGATCGTTCGCGTTGGTCGCCGCGAACGCGTCGTTCGTAAGTTAATTGGATCGTTTACGGAGCGACGCGAAAAAGTAGGCGACGACGCGGATCGTTGAAAGAAGAAGGAACGGATGGAGGCGCACACGCGCGCGTATAATCAAGAAACGTATCGCACCGGTTGGTGGAACGAACAATCCTCGCCATAAAACACGGAGGATCCGGAGCTTTATTTTATTTCATTCAATTCTTCACGGGCGACAGCCGCCACGGGAATATGGAATCGAGTTGTTACGCGGCAGCCGCGGTGGATGACGAGATAGAGGAGGGTAGGTGGATATCGGTAGTTTCGCTAGCAGGGGACGATCGTGGACGACGCACGCCGCATAAGCAAGCACGGCCACGCTTTCCTTCTTACTTCCGACGTATTTGTTTTCGATCGAGCGGGCATCTTTGTTAATATCTATCCGTTTTAAGGTTTGTCTTATCCGCAAGGGATGTGATTCGCGCAATAACCACGAGTAACAGCTGTGCGATGGAGAAGCTAGGAGTAATAAGGCTCTTCTTAGTTGTTACACGGAATAATCGATGTTGCGGTGCCAACATCGCGTGGATTCGGAAAGTCCACTACGTCTCTCGAGAGAGTTTCGAGGCGTACGTATAGGATTTTGGTTACGGTAGTCGAAGCGTAGGTTGCTCGTAGGCTTTTGTTTTTTCTCGCGTGACAAACGAAACGATATAGAAAGAAAAAACTTGGATCGGTAGAGGGGAGGAAGAGAGGGTAGTTTACGCCGAAACGAGGTTGAGAAAAGGGCGAAAGAGCAGTCGGTCTCGCGATAGCGTGCAAGAGGGTCGGTAAAAGGAAAGGAAAAAAGAGAAGGAGAAGGAGTGGGCGCAGGAAAAAAGCGATGCCGTAAAGCACTCAGCGGGGAGCGTGATCCGCTTACGAAAGTCAGGTGGGCCTGCGTTACCGCGTTACCAAGTTATCGCTTTACCTAGCTGTCCGGAGCACATCCATATACGCGTTACGGTATGGGACCGCGACGATGTTTTACTTTTCGGTAGCGTCCCTTCCGATTCTCGCGTTGTTACGCGCTGCCTTCGAATCGTTCGCGACACGATTGTCCGTTTAAAGTCGATGTCTCGTGCCATCGCCTCCGCGCGTTGCGTCCGTGCATTCGCTTCTTTACCCGCTTCTTTTATCCCTGTTATCGAAACGCGGCGAGATACGCGCGACGGATCGATTATGTTTTCAACGCGAGATCGTTCGCGTTGGTCGCCGCGAACGCGTCGTTCGTAAGTTAATTGGATCGTTTACGGAGCGACGCGAAAAAGTAGGCGACGACGCGGATCGTTGAAAGAAGAAGGAACGGATGGAGGCGCACACGCGCGCGTATAATCAAGAAACGTATCGCACCGGTTGGTGGAACGAACAATCCTCGCCATAAAACACGGAGGATCCGGAGCTTTATTTTATTTCATTCAATTCTTCACGGGCGACAGCCGCCACGGGAATATGGAATCGAGTTGTTACGCGGCAGCCGCGGTGGATGACGAGATAGAGGAGGGTAGGTGGATATCGGTAGTTTCGCTAGCAGGGGACGATCGTGGACGACGCACGCCGCATAAGCAAGCAC